CGATTTTGACATGACCGTCTTGATGGGCCGTACACGAGATTTTGTTATAAACCATCTGTCAATCAGTCGAATCTGTCATATCAATAACTCACGGCAGAGAATACTGTTATTAATCCGTGGGCTTAACTTACACTCGGAAATGAAATCCGACATTGCGCGTCGACCACAGAGACGATTGTTAAATGTTGGGTGTTGCAGGCAGATTGGTACCAGATTATCTTGGCATATTGTTTTAATGTACATGAGCCGGGGATGTTTTGTGACATTTTTTTGTGATTTGAGATAATACCGCTTTGAACAGTATTTCAGATATGTCACAGCGTGTCAGCGTCATGTGGGAGCAATCTACAGATTTCGCAGGCCCCGGATGTTAAATGTTAGTGAAGCGAACGGGCCCGGGTTTTATAGATCATGATTGGCGAGAATCTGGAACTCGAACCCTCGAGCTGCGAATACTTGCACAACCAAGGGAGGCAACACCATCGCTAACTACATTCTCTTTGGACATAAATATTCCTTGTAGCTCTAAATTCTACATCCCCACTGCCCCTCCTACTAATATTTCTTCTTCTACTACTACTACTACTACTACTACTACTACTACTACTACTACTATTTCTACTACTACCACTACTACAACTACTATTATTTCTACTACTACTACTATTACTTCAACCACTTCTACTACATCTCTACTTCTACTACTACTACTACTACAACCTCTACTATAGCTGGTACTACTAATATTTCTACTACTGCTACTACTAATTTTACCACTTCTACTATATCTACTTCTTCTACTACTACTACAACTATTACTGTTGCTGCTGATTCTACCACCACTTCTAACATTACTACCACTACTTCTACCACTACTACTACTACTACTACTACTACTACTACTACACCTCTTTTTCTTCTTCTTTTTCTTCTACCTTGTACTCATACTAATACCACTGCATCATCCAAGGAGTGGAGACAGTATGACTATGGTATAACAGCATGTGGTCAACATAACATCTGTGTTTATCATGAGAAACCATTGTTGCCACCAAGCCCCATTATCTGCCCCAGATATACAAGCACGGTCGGGTTCTGTGCCCCAAAGCATTACTACTGTTCCAGGTGTACCACGTCCTACCAGCAAGAAGGTAGTCTTGGTGCTGCTGACTGACGGTGTCTCTACAACTCATCCTACATATCCTTGTCGAAAACACTTCGTCTACACGCTTAGGTTTAGAACTACATCCAGTGATTGAAGAAGAACTGTTTGGTGATAAACGTTTCCTAATGTACATGTATCAGCTCGGCCGAGACACAAGTTGCCGGGTGCCGGGTACCGGGTTCAATCTCTCACAACGGGAAAACATCCTCTTTAATCGAATTAATCATCAAGCTGTATAATTGTATTAACGGTTTAATCATGATTACACAGTTCACGTAAAGTATAGTTTGCACATCACGAGAAGACCCCTGACCACCCACCCATACAGCCCACAGCCCACAGCCCACATCCTACACCCACACCTCACATCCCACACCCCACACCCCACACACAACATCCACCACCTCACACCCCACATCCAACACCCCACACCCAACAACCTACACACAACATCCCACATCCACATCCCACGCCCCTCACCCCACATCCGACATAAAACACACCCCACATCCCACACCTCCCACCCAACATCCCACACCCACATCCCACATAAAACACACCAAACATCCCACACCCCATTCCCACAACCCACATCCAACACCCACACCCCTCGCCCCACACCCAACATCCCACACCCCACATCCAACACCTCACACCTCACATCCCACACCCCACATCCAACACCTCACACCTCACATCCCACATCCCACACCCCACATCCAACACCTCACACCTCACATCCCACACCCCACATCCAACACCCACACCCCTCGCCCCACACCCAACATCCCACACCCCACATCCAACACCTCACACCTCACATCCCACACCCCACATCCAACACCCACACCCAACATCCCACACCCCACATCCAACACCTCACACCCCACACCCCACACCCCACATCCAACACCTCACACAACTTCATCCCTACACAGAGCAAATATCCGTCATGTATTTGTAGATGTGATAAAACCGACTCAGATATAATGGTGTGCCTAAAATTACACTCACAAAGTCACAGCACAAAGACGCATTAAACGAAACTGGCCTGATTGGTTCCCAAAATAGAATGTAAATATATAGAGCAACCCCTTCCTCGGGCTCCAAAAATATTTAATTCTAAAAGCCGTGCGTACGCAGTTCGTGAATATTTCAGGTTTATGCAGGTTATCGCTACTTCAATGGCAACATATTCCAGTAATCTTTATGTTCAAGCTCTCTGAAAGGTTATCTGTGTGTATCCAGTTAGAGAGCAGATTTCATTAATTTACATGGGAGGGCTTGGTAATCTGAAATTGCATTTAGATACCTCCCAAGTGCCTAACAGTAATGAATATTTTAAACTTATCAAGAGTGCTAATAGTCTTTCAAAATTCGTAACCATTACTCTTTACTGAGATATACATTAAGGCTATCATGTACTTAATTATTATAGATTCTATTAATATATTACACTAACCTTTTTAATCTTGTGTCGTTTAATTAATGTACATGTAATTAACTGGTATCACTCGCACCTGCCGTTGTGTCGGAATGGGATGCTGACAAGATTATATTAATATAGACGGTATACAGTATGCAAAGACTCAACTGAAGTGAATGAGGTACTCGTGTTGAAAATAGAATGGCCTTTCGAATATAGTCTACCGACAATCTGTTTTTCTTGAAATAATACATTGTTGTGACGGTCTGGGATGAGATCAAGGCTATGCTGTTCTTGTCATCTTCCCGAGGCGTGAGTGTCCACTGGCCTATATCACCCGACTTTGATACAGGCTAATGGACACTCTAGTCCCTTGAAGAAGGGTTCTAGTGTGAGGCCTCAACCTTTGGCAAATGTCTGTGGCGATGGGATGGCCGAGAGGTCAAAGCGTTTGGTCGTCACGCCAAAGACCGGGTTCAGGTCTCATTTGGGTACAGTGTCGGAGACCAATTCATGAATGAGAACCCAGTCTGCTTTAACAGGAATAAAAGCATTCACTCATTGCCTGGCGAACGTCAATCAGTTGCATTAAAGAATCTTCTTAAGGAATGTCAGTAAGATGCACATGTCAGTAAAATGATGTTTCATAAAACAATAAGAATTATAGACACACACAATTAGTGACACGAGTACATTTTCGGGAAAGAATCACCTCCCGCCATTTTGGAAACAGCACAAGTTCATTCCTTAGTAAAGGGTTTCCAAGTTAATCAGACGCCATTTTTGTCGCCTCGCTAAAATAATGCTTTCGTAAGTAAATGTATTGTTATTTACCAAAGTAGATACAAAATATACCGTGTTCGCTGAAATGTGGCTCCGACGGATATCACTGTTGAGGTTGTCGCACGCCATTATGGAATTTCTTTTTTCGAGAACTTTTTCGATGTTGATGTGCAATTTTCGACGTTTCTGCATCGCTTTGATTTTCAATTTCAAGCTTTAATCATGTTAAACCATACAAATACAAGCGGGGTCATTTCTTCTGCCTACTGTGAGCTTTATCACTTTATTATTTAGTGATGCTGTCGATTGCGGCCTTAGGTGTCCTGTGAAACGCATGTGTACCTAATTTCGTTTCGCCGATACCTCCGTGAGCTAGCGTTAGGACCAGGTTCATATCGCCACATTGAGAAGACTAAACTAGGCGCCATTGCTGTTCTCTGTGACATGTGACTGTACATAAACTTGCGGACTTCCTGGTATTCCTTGTATTCGTGCTGACCCCTTCGAAATGTAGTATATACTACTGTTAGATTCTTGCTGATGTCGTTTATTGAATATGGCTATAGTGATCATGTCTAATGGTTCGTAATGTACAAGTCATATCATACAGCAGCTTTCGTGATGTCCCCAGTCAAAACATACCAAGGCCATAGTTAACTTTTTTGACAAGGGGGGCATACAGCTGTATTCGTGATGTCCCCCGTCAAAATATATAATTTTATCTATGGTCGTGATGTTCCCCGTCAAAATATATATCTGTTGTCATGATGTGCCCCGTCAAAATGTGCAGCTGTAGTCGTGATGTCCCCCGTCAAAATATACATCTGTGGTCGTGATGTCCCCCGTCAAATATATATCTGTTGTCATGATGTGCCCCGTCAAAATATATATCTGTGGTCGTGATGTGCCCCGTCAAAATATATATCTGTAGTCGTGATGTCCCCCGTCAAAATATATATCTGTTGTCATGATGTGCCCCGTCAAAATGTGCAGCTGTAGTCGTGATGTCCCCCGTCAAAATATATATCTGTGGTCGTGATGTCCCCCGTCAAATATATATCTGTTGTCATGATGTGCCCCGTCAAAATGTGCAGCTGTAGTCGTGATGTCCCCCGTCAAAATATACATCTGTGGTCGTGATGTCCCCCGTCAAATATATATCTGTTGTCATGATGTGCCCCGTCAAAATGTGCAGCTGTAGTCGTGATGTCCCCCGTCAAAATATACATCTGTGGTCGTGATGTCCCCCGTCAAATATATATCTGTTGTCATGATGTGCCCCGTCAAAATGTGCAGCTGTAGTCGTGATGTCCCCCGTCAAAATATATATCTGTGGTCGTGATGTCCCCCGTCAAATATACATCTGTAGTCGTGATGTTCCCCGTCGGCAGTGGTCATGTCCCCCGTCAACACACAGGTACAGCTGCTTACCATCCTTTTGAAGCGGCGTACAAGTCCAAACACTCGCCCCCTTCACGACATATGTGTATTTGACGGACAACTAAACCCCCACCGGTATTTACCCCTCTCTGTATCCAAACATCGCCAAGCGTGTCGCTGTTTACGCAATCCATCACTCTCACTGGTAGTGTTTCGATCATTAAAAAAACCTTATTTTTGTTGCAGCTCTGACAGTGCGTTACTTGACTCGAAGATTCATTGGAGAGTACTGCCCAACATTAGGTAAGCGATGCAAGTCTGTCTTGTAAGAATTCCATTTCATCATTCAATATTGTCGCAAAAACCAAGTTCAATTAGTGCCTTTGTAAATGTCATCAAAAATCGATACCCGGGTTTCTGTTCGCCTCACGGAGACGAGACTTGGGCCAGGCGGTGTCCCCGAACTGAGCCCAACCTGACAAGTCCGCATTTTCTCCATGGCTGTGCTTATTACTCTGTACAGCTTTCTTATCGATCTTATAACAGAGACACATTTGCTGAAATCAGATTACGAATGCCGGATTCATAACAAAAGTTTGAACTATTCTATTTCGAGAAAACTAGAAACATGTTTGTGACGTCACGTGTTCCTCTTCCTTATAAGGAGATTATTATTCTGTCCGTTACAACCGACGGAGAGATTTGTTTGACGTGGTGTGCAGTCGGGAACAGAAGCATAATCCCCAGTGATATATCGCTGTAGAATTACGGTATATTTCAGGTCGTAAGTAGTTCGGGAAATCAGGAAAGGCGTGCACGTGTAATGTGCTTACGTGACGTCCTAACTTATGAAGCTTGAGTTGATTCGTGTTTTTACTTAATGCGCGGAATAAAATCTAACAGACGAACTTATGTGGAGTTTAATGTTGAGACATGTTGATTGTTACGTTATTTTTGTATTGACGGTGCAGCAGACCCGAATCAATGCCTAAAAATTTCACTCTTGAGTGAAAGCCTATACCACTATTAAAAGCCTGGGCCGATATTAACTTCCGTTTGCTTTCAGGCTCGGTCAATATTAGAGGTTGGCTCTTTTGTAAGACCCTGCCGCAGATGATTGTAACTCCCATATTTTAATAATTTTGTATATACTTCACGCGCTACGGGGCGGTCGGGTAGCCTAGTGGTTAAAGCGTTCGCTCGTCACGCCGAAGACCCGGGTTCGAATCCCGACATGGCACAGCAAAAGAAATGCAGTTTCCGGTATCCGGATACCTGCCGGATACCACCGGACACTTACCCAAAACGCGTCCGGGTATCCGGTGGCAGATACCTTGCCGGATACCAGATCCGTGGTATCCGGCATGGACATCTCACCGGAAAGTATGCCACCTGGAATCCGGGTATCCGGCACCGGATACCTCACCGGATACCTCAATCTGGGTGTCCAGGGATCCGGCACCGGATACCTCATTCTGAGTTTCCAAAAACATGTCACAATTTGGGGGGTGCATTTTGTTCAATTAAGTGTGAAACACCTAAAAATATCATCTCTCATCTTATCAACTAGTGGTGTTCCTGGTCTCGATTTGACTATCTATACATGCTATATGCACCTTTTATGTGACTGTATTACTGTCCAAAACTGACGGGCGGTTGGGTAGCCTAGTGGTTAAAGCGTTCGCTCGTCACGCCGAAGACCCGGGTTCGAATCCCGACATGGGTACAATGTGTGAAGCCCATTTCTGGTGTCCCCCGCCGTGATATTGCTGGAATATTGCTAAAAGCGGCGTAAAATCAAACTCACTTACTCACTCACTTCACGCGTTACGATCGCTTTGTATCACCGGGCCCTGGCCGTCATTTGTTTCGTATCTGTGACGGGTAGGGACCGGGTGGTTTTGTAAACTGATAATACCAGGGTACTCAAAGGAATGGGGAGAAATCATTAACTGTGTTGGCCCGGTGCTATCAGAACATTGTATTACCTGACCGGCTCTTCAATATAATAAGAAAAATATGTTTATGGTGAAACGTTCTATGTGAATTATAACAATGTCTCTTAAGAATTAAGATTACTAACGATATTTCTATTATATCTATTTTTACCTGTGCGTAACCACGACGTGATTGTCGATGTAGGTATAACCTTGTACCACTTGTGAGATCTAGGGAAGCTTTCTAAAAGCAGGGTTTGTGTTGCAGAGAGTGTTTACAAATACCACACACGTATTGATGACGATGACGTCAAACTGGAGATCCTCGACACGGCCGGACAGGTGAGCTTCTACCGCCTGGCTATATCACGAGAGAAGGAAAATATATAGATGTTGTCTTAACATACACTGAATACTTTGCCCCCTTACATGTGAGTTTAGCTAACATTACTGGTGGAATATTTGGTAACTTCTCCCCTTTCAACTTTTTCCTTTGGTGGTCGAGTTTATCAGCCAGATGAGCGGAATTCATAGAGAAAGAGAGAGGGGGGGGGGGGGGGGGGGGGGGGGGGAGAGAGAGGAGAGTGAGAGAGAAAGCGAGAGAGAAAGGGGAGGAGAGAGAAAGGGGGGAGAAAGGGGGAGGAGAGTGAGAGAGGGGTGGAAAGAGGGAGGGGCAGGGGAGAGAGAGAGGGTGGAGAGAGAAAGGGGAGGAGAGTGAGAGAGAAAGGTGTGGAGGGGGGGGGGAGAGAGAGGATGGAGAGAGAAAGGGAGGGGAGAGAGAAAGGGGAGGAGAGAGAGAGAGGGTGGAGAGAGAAACAGAGGGGAGAGAGAAAGAGGGAGGGGAGAGAGAAAGGGGAGGGGCAGGAGAAAGGGGGGAAAGAGGGTGGAGGGAGAAAGGGGAGGAGAGTGAGAGAGAGAAAGGGGCGGAGAGAGAAAGGGAGGAGTGGAGAGAGAAAGGGGAGGGGGTGGAGAGAGAGAGAGAGAGATTTACTCCCACCACGAGGACTCGCCATATTACACTGATCATCGCTGCTTAACTCCAAACTCACTCTGTGTACGTTGTTGTTCCAGATACGTGCTGAGTGGAAGGACGGCTATGCATTATGGGCAGACAGTTTTATCTTTGTGTATTCCATAACAGATCGAAACTCATTCAACGAAATCACCCGAATCAAGAAAAGCGTCGAAAACGCTCGAAAATCATCGAGTCTCGCCGGCATTCTGGTCGGAAACAAGAACGATCTCCTCCACGACCGCCAAGTTACGGAGCTCGAAGGCCAGGAACTAGCCGACGAGTTAGGATGTAGATTTTACGAGGTCTCGGCCGCTGATTGGACGCAGGTGGAAGTTATTCAAGACGTTTTCAGAGACATGTACCGAGAGTTTAAACGGTCAAAGTCACTTAAAGATGGCCGCCAACGAAAGACGAGCTCCTCTCAAAGGTTCAAACAGGCCATTCAGAAGGTGATAACGGGGAAATCGAACAATAACAAACGCACAGCGACGATGTGACAACGATAGAAACTGGTGGTGGATGTTGTGTAAAGTATATCTGTGATTGTGTGCGTGATTCCTGCTGATTCGGTGAAATATGCAGCAAGATATGCATGGGTGCATCTTGCTGCATATATGGATTAATTTCACTATGATGGAATGGTCGGGGAAATAATTCATACATTATTTCATTGTTCGATATTTAAATGTTGAATGATTACTGGACATGGGCGTCTGACGATTCAACGAAATCATGATCTCGCAATCTCACAATGGGACAACACTTAGGCGACCGGAAGATATGTTTAATTAGAACATCACGTGGAGCAAGGTTCTTTGCGAAGCATTCGCCGGAAACCAGTCCCGCAGAACCTGCACCCGGTTTGATGACCCCAGGCGTTGCTGTGGTAGGTAAACAGACTATTTTGAATATTTTAAAAATACTTTGAAATTCGCTGCGAAGGAACGTATACAGGACGTCATATTGAAATCACATAGGGGTGATCTTCTGTCTAGTGGTTAAAGCCTTTCTCGCCTAAAACCGTGTTCGATTCCCCTCATGGGCACAATGATCATGACAGTAACCAATCTGTGGATCCCCAAGCCTTGACATGGCTTGAGTATTGTTTCAATATGGCTAAACCTTTTTCAATTTTTTCTGACTTTGTACAACTTAGAAGAAACAAGTGAACATTAATCTTAAATGTTAAAAAAGGTGACAGGGTGAAGGATGTGTCGGAATCTGATAGCCACAAAGATGATGTATTCGAGAACTGGTGAACCAATAAAACAGCTCCTATTTTTCACTTTAAAGCTGATCGATCAATGTCAAGCACTAGCGATCTGCCTTTTCATATAGTCGCGTGTCTCGCTTACCACACTGGCTCCATGTAGCTCATGTCGTACTCTGTAGTGATTGGGACAATTAGTCGCAACAGTAAAAGCAGGCCTGAGATTAACCTGAAACATTTACTTGCCAAAATAATGACAACTAGCATGTCAAGACATTACCCTAACAACCTGAGATTCTAATTATCTTTAATAACAGACGGACTGACTGCCAATTTGCATCCCTGCAGTAACCTCAAAGAGTGATCAAAATCGTTGCTCATTATTTCAAATTCGACAGTACGTCATTCATATATATGGGATGGCACATGTTAGACTAGCTTTACATGCAATATTAATGATACATTACGTAGGTAACTGAAGGAACATGGAAAAGAATATTCCGGAAGTTCACCTGAAATGGCCGATGGTCATGTTTCCAACTTTCTTTTTCAGAATGAAAACAGATGACCACTCCAAAGGCCGAATCAAGATGGCCACCGGTTACACTGCATGTGGTCTATCTTCTCCCCGTGACCGTTTGTCAACTGGGTGTGGTGATTATCATCTGTGTTTTCTGGAACAGTACTAAGGCACTCAAGCAGCCAGTCCCGTGTGGATGGATTTCCTGGTGGCAAGGTTCGTTGCTTTACTGCACATGCGTCAACTCTGCTGGCAAAGATGGCGGACTTTCCGGGCGTAATGTCTTGGTAACTGTTGGAATTCGTGAGAAATTCAATGTGCTTTTATACCAAATATTCTCAGATTGATAAAATGTGATACGTAAAGGAATAAAGACCGGCGTCTGGTACTGGTACTATACAACGGAACCTCATTTATACGGACCTCGTTAAACCAGACACCCAACTATTACTGGTGGACGATGTTGAGAAAAGACCGGAATTACGAGGTTACCTTGTAATTAATTCTTGTCTCCGACGAAAAGGATGGGAATTCGTCCAAGTGCTCCTCAATAATCAAACTGTTAATTGTCATGATCATACGAATGTCACCCAAAATACCTATGTGTATATAAAGAAACTGTTCTCTGATGTAAATTTCAAACGGCGGGATAATGAGTGTATGCACCATGTTTTTATGAGGGAAGGTAAGCGGTCTTGTCTTCCATGTTGAACAAGCATTTTACCATCCTTTGGACATATTGTAAATAACGACAGCGTCGTGAATCCCTGTCTTTTTCACCGACATCGACTGAAACAGTAGTTGTTGGTGTCCAGTGTATGAGTCTGTAACGTCCACTCCTTTGGTCAGTCATATAACAACAGATCATATACATCGAAAGATCGAGGAACTGAATGTAATGCACATATTTTCACACGATGACCGACAAATGTGTAAAATGTTTACTGTTTACGAAAACTTAAAGCACTCAACACAAAACACAATTCAGCACCGACTCTTTGTTCACACGACACCTGGGGCCGATCTATCTTTTCACAAAGTTTCTTTAAACGACTTTATGTATTGCTTGTATTTTGCGTTACAATCAGCACGTGACAACGATGTATCCATGTTTGACTTAACTGATTTCTGAAGAATTGAAAGTGAGAGTTCTTGTACGACTGCGAGTAGTGCTCTACCTGACACATGGAAGGCTCTGAAATATTTATAAAAAAAAGATAAATTCTGATTAAACTTATAAAACTTTTAGTAATATTTATGTCATGCCTTTTTCTATAGAAGAGCTGTTTGACAGTAAACAAAAGACATGGTACAATTTCTTTATTTTAATCATAATGTCTCCTTTTTAGACACAGACAGTGGTTGTTTCTGTGGTAATACAGAAAATGTCATCTCTGTGACTTGACCTTCCTGGGGAGACAGGATTAATTTTTTCGCTTCTTGCAAATTGTTATCTAGATGATTATTGCCAGAATAAGCCAAGGTGGTTTTGGTGGTGAGGAAATCAACAAAATGTTAAGCAGCTTCAGTTGTGCTGAAATACCAATGGTATTTCGGGCTCCGTCTAACTTGAGCAAAAGTATGTTTTCATTTCCGAAATTATCCAGTCGGCCCAGAAATTATATTTTGATATCACCGTGTTAGTTATTAGTAGTAATCATTGTGAAAAGAGCGTTACGAAACAATCAGACGCATGAGATCGTATTAACACTGAGTGCACATACTGATCTCCATGAGTCCATTCTAACAAAACGCGCCCGTTCACGTGCAGCTCTTCGCTCAGCGTTAGAGTACATTTCTAATTGTTCAATATTTTCACATAACTCGACTTTTATTCATGGCTCTTAGTTCTGATTACATGTTCACCCATCACCGTTTCACCACGCATCACTGGTGATCGATCGCTGTCCCGAACTCTGGTTATGTTACCAATACCTGACAATCATGGGGTTGTTACACAGGGTACTTCGTACAATCTGTTGTATTTAGTGTTGTATCGAGTTATAAGAGTTCGAATTTCGATCTTATACTTATCTCGAAGTGCATTGTTGATACTACTTCAATCCTCACATATCATTCAAACTCTGAATCTCGATTAACAGCAGCCAAGGGGTAGAAGTTTTTTAAATATCTGCCGGGCAAAAGAAAACACACACTTAGAAATCGGATTTCACAGAAAAAAATACAAACGTCATCAAAAAGTTACTTGGCTGAAGACACTGAAACACTGCACACTTAAGGTCCAAAACACAACGATATAAAAAAAACCGTGGGATCACAATCGAATAACCATTTTTGGTTTGTTTCCTTTTCAGTCACCGTCAAACATGGGGTATACTTTATTTTGCCCGGCGCCGCGAATAGCTCGAAAACTGTTGATGCGGCGTAAAACAATATTCCTTCTTTCACACTTTTGCCTGGTAGTTAGTCGTCGATGTCATCGGTGAGAAAGTTTTTGATTTTGTTTATTCTGGTATTGGATGTTTCGGCATATTCATTCGATAAGCGAATGCTAATTTTGTTATCATTTCCATTGCTTTGATCAGATTGAACCTATTTAATGTTATTGTATCTCGGTGTTAAAATTCAAGGTTTAGAGGCAGCGGAAGTTCACGTACGACGCGTATTGTGTGGAAGAATCACACTTTTTTTTTGTATTTCAATCTTGACAGTGTAGTTCAATGGCAACAACGACGCTTGCATTCATGGGAGTAGTCTATGCGTGACGTACAGGACGTTGACGTCACTGTTGCGACACCAGCGTGGTGTGCATTAATGTTCACCGTCATGTACTTGTTCATCAACACTTGATCACGTGATGCATCATGTGACCAGATCATGTGATCTCACCCATCTGTAGCATCGCACCCGTCTGTGATGTAAACCTATCTGTGATATCTATAAATATGATACACAAATCATGGCTGTGTTCTGTTCTCCTTTTCTTATGCTTGTTTGCTGTTTAACGCCGCATTCAGACGGCGGTCTGTAAATAATCGAGTCTGGACCAGACAATCCAGTGATTGACATCATGAGCATCGATCCACGCAGTTGGGATCGATGACGCGCATCAACCAATTTAGCGAGCCTGACCACCCGATCCCGTTAGTCGCCTCTTACGACAAGCACAGTCGCCTTTTACGGCAAGCATGGGTTGCTGAAGTCCTGTTCTACCCCGGATCTTCACGGGTCCATTTTTTTGTGGGTGATACGTATTACTCAACAGGTCTAGTATTGCTCTTTATTACATACGCAGGCAAACATGTCGAGGTTCATAAAAATCACATGCGCCCTAGGTTCAAATCACGTCACGAGACAAAAGTGCAGTGTTTCCGTCATCCGAAAGGCATTGTTGACGCCATTCGAATCTTGTTGACATCACACTAGAAAAGACGTCATAGCTGAAGCTGTTGACGTCATTCGACAAATTGTGGTTCCGCTGCTGATGCGACTTGCTGTCCTAAAAGGTAGACACTAAAATTCGCCTCTGTATGTTGACATCTTCTTCGGTAACAAATAAAAAATAATGTTCGTGTTCATATCATACTATGTTTACGATACTCATAGAACATCCTATATATTATATCGTGGGCTCCATAGTATCGGTAAATCTCGTAATCCACACCCTCTGTAGATTTTTTATTTAAGCAAATCTAAACATGATCTTTCATCGCTTGATCGAATACAGGACTCGTTGCGGTATGTCAAGGCGACTCGCACGTATACACGTAAACTTTTTAATGATAGTTTCTGGAATGTTTTTGAAGTGGAACGACCCCTACCTCCGTTCGTAATTGATTAGAAAAGACCCCATTTGTTTGGACGAATTCCCTTGAGCCAACCAAGGTCGAATGTATACTGATTATTCATAATCAAAGACAGGAAGTGACGTAGAGCACATATTCCACACGTCTCATACCACCGCCCTCAAGTCGCCGATGACAGGTACTTTGTTTACCGATCAATCCTAATTGATGTGTCATTGAAGTTGAACCAAGAACAAGAAACATTTTGCGTATGACATATTTAATAGGTAAGTAAGCGTGCGCCATTACGATCAATATTAATGGGTAGAGCATTCACTCAGTCACAACTGGACTTAGAACACTGCACGTTAGTGCCATGCTCCACGGGCTTGGCAGTACATGTACATGGCTCTCAGTCACTCTTGGACTTTGAACACTGCATGTTCCTGCCGTGCTCCACGGGCTTGGCAGTACATGGCTCTCAGTCACTCTTGGACTTTGAACACTGCATGTTCGTGCAGAGCTCCACGGGCTTGGCAGTACAGGGCTCTCAGTCTCTCTTGGACTTTGAACACTGCATGTTCGTGCCGTGCTCCACGGGATTGGCAGTACATGTACATGGCTCTCAGTCACTCTTGGACTTTGAACACTGCATGTTCCTGCCGTGCTCCACGGGCTTGGCAGTACATGGCTCTCAGTCACTCTTGGACTTTGAACACTGCATGTTCGTGCAGAGCTCCACGGGCTTGGCAGTACAGGGCTCTCAGTCTCTCTTGGACTTTGAACACTGCATGTTCGTGCCGTGCTCCACGGGATTGGCAGTACATGTACATGGCTCTCAGTCACTCTTGGACTTTGAACACTGCATGTTCCTGCCGTGCTCCACGGGCTTGGCAGTACAGGGCTCTCAGTCACTCTTGGACTTTGAACACTGCATGTTCGTGCAGAGCTCCACGGGCTTGGCAGTACAGGGCTCTCAGTCTCTCTTGGACTTTGAACACTGCATGTTCGTGCCGTGCTCCAAGGGATTGGCAGTACATGTACATGGCTCTCAGTCACTCTTGGACTTTGAACACTGCATGTTCCTGCCGTGCTCCACGGGCTTGGCAGTATAGGGCTCTCAGTCTCTCTTGGACTTTGAACTCTGCATGTTCCTGCCGTGCTCCACGGGCTTGGCAGTACAGGGCTCTCAGTCTCTCTTGGACTTTGAACTCTGCATGTTCCTGCCGTGCTCCACGGGCTTGGCAGTACAGGGCTCTCAGTCTCTCTTGGACTTTGAACTCTGCATGTTCCTGCCGTGCTCCACGGGCTTGGCAGTACAGGGCTCTCAGTCTCTCTTGGACTTTGAACTCTGCATGTTCCTGCCGTGCTCCACGGGCTTGGCAATACAGGGCTCTCAGTCTCTCTTGGAGTTTGTACACTGCAGGTTCGTGCAGAGCTCCACGGGCTTGGTAGTACATGTACAGGGCTCTCAGTCACTCTTGGACTTGGTACACTGCAGGTTCGTAGGCGTACAAGGGTCTCAGTCACCTGGAGTTGCGTACCTTATGCGTGCCAGAAATCTATGATCTTTGGTTCGAACTATATCCGTGCTCGTGGGTTTTACCAATGTGATAAACATCCGAGACTTGAAACACTTCCTCCCGTTTACTAATGTTTACTCACTCACTGACATTCTCTGATGACAACTTACAGAAATTATGTTTATTTAAACTTGAAATGGATCTGAAAGATCAAATACATTTTGTATCACATCCCAAGCAAACAATCTCTTTCAGCCTCCACCTGTACTGCATATCCAATAAACAGTTGAGCAAAATATTTGCATTTGAGAACTAAACTTGAAAAGTATCATCTGTTTACTGCACAGTGCTTGTGGATAAATCGTTTCCCGTTTCCCAATATGTGTACAGTGTGTGAAGTTCATAATATTACTGGTCCCCCGCCGTGTTATTGCTGGAATATTGCTCAAAGCCCTAAAATTCCTGCTCGCTCACTCACTCATCCAATGTTCTGAGTCAGGAATAAATGTACCCTATATCACGACGTCCCAGAACCTGACAAAATATTCAACCCTGAACCTGACAAAAAAATCAATTATTGACCGAATGAGCCGCTGGGTTACGATGTCTTCGTCACATTGTATTCCTACCCCTGCCGCCCCTGTGTACGAGACCCGTGAAGATCCGGGGTAGAATAGGTCTTCAGCAACCCATGCTTGCCGTAAAAGGCGACTTGGCTTGTCGTAGGAGGCGACTAACGGGATCGGGTGGTCAGACTCGCTGACTTGGTTGGAGCATGTCATCGATCCCAATTGCATGGATCGATGCTTATAATATCAATCACTGGATTGTCTGGTCCAGACTCGATTATTTACAGACCGCCATCATATAGCTGGAATATTGCTGAGTGCGGCGCTAAACAACAAACCAGCCAACCAACCCTGGGTACAATGAGAACAATTCACCTGGTTAGCTGCGGTTACCGCATTCCCTTTAATATCGGATCCCGTTTTGATTCGAAGAGCCTACAAAGCGTTCGCTGATTATAAGCCGAGATTTCCTAGATCAGATAAGCTTACACTGTGAGATCCTTCCATATATCACAAAAGCACACACCATGCATACACACCATGCATCAGTCTGTCATACAGTCCCTGAACCATTGTATTTCCCCTTCTGTTCAGACCTTTAAAGGTGTAATGCTATAGCTATTTATGGAGCAAGTCTAGATTTTCAACAGGTTCTGAATATTCCAGCTCACTGGTGCTCCTTTTCAATTGAAATAAACTTGCTTGTTTTTATCAATTTTGCATATTTTCAGCGACTTAAGCGTAAATCTATCCAGATGTTTGGAATACTATGAGCCATTTACTGGCTACAGTAACAGGTACAAGGGGTCCCACTGTGTCTGACGAAGGACCCCCGCAAACTCATCGTAAACTTTGAAGCATCTCTATTGAATTCAACCTCTTTTGATCTCCCGGCTATGTTTGTGAAAAAACAAAGCGATTGTAGTTTGGTTTCTGTGGAGATTAAACCAACGCTCTACAACATCGGGCTAGCTTTCAGACAAAAATCAACAAACCCGAGCTTAACACTGTAGCAGAGTCAATTCCCACAGTGTGTAGATTACCGTCAAAAATAAACCACACGTCAAGAACACCGCTACTAATTAGCTTTGATGACTCCACAAACCAGAGTTATCTCCCCTCACAGCTGTGAAAACCACAGCACCTGGTAAAAGCTTCAAGGCCCTTGCTAAAAATCCCCTATCACAAACATACCTGGTATACAGTCGATTTGACCTTGAACTCAACTAATGACGTCATCAAGACAGGCACTATTTCTCCGTCGAAAACGAGATCAAAGAGCCCTGTTTTCTTCGCGTGGCTTATACTTAAATGTGTTTTACGACGTTGAAAATAAATTGTTTGTTTATTGTATTAAGATTCTATTATCTCTGTCGAAAGCTGCAAGGATTACGACGCAAATGGGTGAAATCATGGCGCAATAAAGTTGTCAGCCATTTAATACTTCCGTTACGGCTTCGAGAGGTTTACATCGTGCTTGTAACGGCCACGTGCATGGCGAGAAAATCACACCTTTGTATTCCTCCGCGAGTCTGGCGGATGAGATGTAGAACAATCTGGTTCGCAAAACAAGCAGACGCTATTTCATGGCTCATAAAATAACACCAAATTGATTAAATGCCCTGTTCTATCGCATAACAAAAACATGTTGGGAGAGGTATTTTCTTCCTCTGCATGTCTTACAGTGAAAAGTACCACACACGTCCCGTCAGTCAGAGAATATAGGACACGTTGCGTTTAGATACACACAGTTTTACAGGTCATTGATTGTATAACCTCTCCTCACACTCTTCAGAATAGGGACGGTCGGGTAGTCTAGTGGAAAAAAACGTTCGCTCGTCGTACCGAAGATCCGGGTTTGAGCGAGTGAGTATGATTTTACGCCGTTAAATCGGCAATATTCAAGCAATGTCACGGCGGGGGACACCAGAAATAGGCTTCAAACGCTGTACCCATGTGGGGAATCAAATCCGTGTTTTCGGCGAGGCGAGCGAACGCTTAAACCACGAGGCTACCCAACCACCCAAGATCCGGATTTGATTTGACCACATGGTTACAATTAGACTGACAATTTGCCCCCAGA